TAAGTGATGTGGACACAAAGGGATGTTAGACATTCAGGGGCTTTACCTTCTCAAGTTTTATTGTTTTGTTGTTGTTTTTTAGCTTAATTTTTAAAAGACTTTCTGGCTTTCTCAGAGATAAGTCACACTTTCTTGGCAGTCAGTCTCCTTGATTCAGCTTCTGTTTCCTATTATAAAATGTTCATTCTCTCTGCAGTGTTAAGAATGAAGAATTCTGATGTTGCTGCAGTTACAGTGCACACACCCACAAGAGAAGGTGTGTGAGTCACCATTACAGTTCTTAGGGTGACAGAGCTGAGGAAGCTTGGCAGCAAAGAGTGCCCTTTGGGAGCTCAGCACATAAGTGCTGTGCCCCCAGCTTTGAATGCTGCACTGCCTTGTAGTTTGGGCAGAGCTTGTGCCGGTCCCATTTTTGTTACATTCTGACTTCTGCACAAGTAGTGACAGATGGAAAATAATTTTGTTGAAGTAGAAATGCAGATGTTGATCAGTATTTGTAATCCTTTGCCTGAGAACTGATAGTCTGTTGTTTGTCCCACAATTAGAGGAAATCATTGAACAAAATCAGATATGCAGACACTGCTGAGAAGCCTAGTCCTGCAGGCAAAAGGATTTACCAGAGGTTAGGAGAAAGGAAAACTGAGTCTCAAAGAGGAATGTTGACATTCTTCTATAGTCTTTGAATAAATATAAAGGTGTCTTTGCCTTTGTTTCTTTTGCTGAAACTGCTCTTTGCTGTGGAATCAGAATTTCAGTCTCAGATTTTGCAGGTATTAGCACTTTGAGGTTGTGAGGTCTGCTGTGGAGCATCACAGACTCTCACTTCCTTCAGTACTGACTTCTGTGGTCAAAGATTAGTGTAGTTGGTGGAAAATTGGAAGTGTTGGGAGCTGTCCTTAGGGACTATTTCACACTTGGATGATTTTGGTTTCTGATGTGAGTGCCATTGGAGATCTGACTGCTTTAACTGTGGGGGACTTCTCTGCATCAGAAACATTGCCCATGAACCTCTGATTTTAATGTGGTATTGTAATTCCTTTTCTTTTTTCCTAAATATCAACTTAAAACTTAGAAAACATTGCAAATTTGGTCAGGAACTGAATATATTGCAGTACAATAAGGCACCTGTTGTAGTTTTTTTCTTTAAAAATGTGTGCATTTAATATGATTATTCCTGATTTTTAGTGCCAAACTTAGGAAACTACTAGCTAAACATCTGGAATAAAAGCATGCTATTGTGCTACAAGTAGGGTTTATTTTTAACAGTAGTCTCTTAGGCTTGGAATAGTTGGGGTTTGCCTAGATAGATTGGTTCAGCTATAAGTGGGTAGGTAAAGTGGTAACTTAAAAAATTAGAAAACTAAATATGAGCAAGAATTGCCCGTTCCTCCTTACAGTTTGGCAGGAAAGGACTGAATGAAAACATCAGGAAGTAGACATTGGGAGTGAGGGCCAGTGTTTAGACCAGAGAGGTTCAGCTGCCTTTTATCAAAGTGCCCAGGAGCTCCTTGGCCTCGCCCCCTGCATCTGCTGTCTGTGGGGCACACAGGGGAAATACGGGGGGGAGAGGAAAGGAGACAATCTGTAGACCACTTCTGTGGCCCACAGCAGTCACTGCTGTCTCTGCCACATCGGAAGCAAAGAAGGTGATGAGCACCAAGTCAGGTGAATTCCTTTTGCATCTGGATGCCAGTGGAAATAAAGTAACTCTGAGAGCTTCTTTCTGTCCCTTTGTTCCTGTGATTGCTGTGGAGTCTGGAAAGTGAACTTTGAGTCATTAAACAGAGGTTATACTGTGTTTGAGAAAACAGTGTTACATGGGGGAAAAGAGCTCTATATTTTTATAACCTCCATGAAATTTTGAGTAAGTCAGGGCAGTTTTTCAGTTATTCATAATTCTATGATGAAATATGCATGAATATAATAATACATGTGTTTCATGTTTAATAAGGATTTTTTCTTTTTGCAGTTTTTAAAATACCTTTGGAACAAAATCTTAATATTCTGTGTCTTAAAAGCTGTTAACTTTTAAAATATAATTTTATGTTAAACCAAGTAACATCTGCTTGGAGGTCTCAATGCTGCATCTGGAATTCAGTGTTCATTGTGAGGCCCCAGTACAAATGAGGGACTGGCAAACTGGAGCAAGTCCAGTAAAGGCCAGTGCTATGGTTGGGGGTGGGAAGAGGTCAGGAGAGGCTGAAGGAACTGGTTTTGTGTCATTTTGAGAAGAAAGGAGTGAGGGGGATTGAATTGCAGTCTTCTGCTTCCCAAGGCAGTGTTGGAAAGAAGGTGGAGCAAGGCTTTGTTCAGGGGTGCACAGCAGCAGAATGAGAGGCAATGGCTGCAAGGTGCTGCAGCCCAGCTCCAGTTGGGCTTACAGGAAAAACTCTTCCTGGACTTTCTGGTTAAGCTCAGGAGCAGGATGCTCTGGGGGATGGGAAGACCTCCACCTTCAGGGGATTTCATAACTTGTGGGGACAAAGACCCTGAGTAACCTGATTTATTTTTGAAAACACCTGTGTTAGGTGCATGAGAGAACATTTAGGAGTCCCTTTCAGCTTAATTTGAGCTTTCACGATTTTCATGATTATTGTCTAAATGCACCTGTAAGCTGTGCTGTGTAACTCTGTTAGCAGGAGAATCAGTGGGAAAAGCACTTGAGCTGCAAATGCTGCTAGTCAAATTAAATCATCTGCCTTAATATTGATTTAAATATCTTCGAGTTAGTTCCCCTGCCTCTCAAAAGAAGAGTGAAAAACTTCTCTTTGAAATGTGATGCTATTAGAGATTGTTCATAAACGTACTGTCTGCTACATAATACGGCAATTATTTTCTTTTTGGAGGGTATTAATGCAATCTGTAATACACAAGCTCTCTTTCCTGCTGCAGGGTTTTTCTCAGCATCTAAAAAGTAGCAAAAAATATGTGGAACTTCAAAATGAGTTAATGTAATGTATAAATCAACCCCTGAAGCATTCTTAAGTGAGAAAGTGTATCTTTTTTCTTGTGAATAACTGCACTGTTCAGATGGGAGCAAGCAGGTCAGTGGGTAGGACTCTAACACTGGGTCTGTGTCCTTCTTTCACACAATTCTTGTGTAATTTGAAGCATGTCACTGTGAGCTAGATCAAAATGGGAATCAAACTCCATGGCTCAGCTCTGTGTCTTGTTAATATTTGCTGGTGAGGAAGGAATTGATTTTAAAAAAATCATTGTTGGAAGTTGACTTTGATAGATGTTTAAAAGCTTGTGTCATATATTTAAAGAAAAAAATCATTCTGAAAGCCTTTTAGCTGCTCTCTTAAAGATGCATTTGGAAAAGGTGCTGAGAGTCACTTTCAGAGGTTTGCTTGATATTACGTGTGTCATGCTTGAAAACCTGTGCTCCAGTCATGAGCAGCTTTAAAAATATACAGGAAAATAGCCATTTCTTCAAACTATCACTTGTTTTGGCTGACAGTTTTGGTGTGGCAGGATGCATTCCAGACATCTGTAAGCAGGAACACGCCTTGGGGCTCTGCAGATATAAACTGTGGAGAAGCTTTAGAAGGAACACTGTATAGTGAAAGCATATAATGGAATTTATTGTGTTATGTTGGGGGAATCCTTTCTGAGCCTTGGCTCTGAAGCTACATGATTTTGTCTAGGACTGGATTAAGAGTTACCAAAGCTTAAGACAGTTTAAAAGGGAATTTTGCATGCTTAAATGAAGTTGTTATGAATTATCTCATCTTACTAGGATCTTGCGCTACCGGAGTTATTATCCTTCCTGGCACACCTGTCCTGATAATTCACCCTTGTAAACCTAATGTTAGGGAGGTAAATTGCATAGTGCCTCCTAGGGTTGGATCCTTTTTTGAAGCTTTTTTCTATTCACTGCCACTTTTTCTGTAAGTGGCAATTCATTTGCCATTTAGTTTAATATTTGGCCACTGTACCTTGAATTTCGCTGTCTCCTTCAACTTAATCTTTTCATATTTGAGCTATGGAGACTTTCCAAGGGCTTGACTGTTTTGTTGCCAGCAGAAGAGATAACTTCTTCAGATGAACATCTGTGGGCCACTCAAGTGTAGGACAGAAAATTCAGCATTGGCTCTTCCACTGTCTTTGTAGCTTTTGGAAACATACTTTTCCTCCTCAGGCTTATTTTGAAATCTGTCTTTATGACATGCTGTCTCTTGAGTTAGAGTGAAGATGGGCTGGGGGCAGAGTGTGTGCATTGCTTAGTACAGTATGTTTTCTTTCGGGATGATACTGGAATGTCACTATTAAGCAGCATTATGGGGAAGGTGGGATGATGTCTCTCATGGGTTCTGGGCTTTGCTGTCTTCAGTTGAGTATTCAGTACCAAAGTAGGGGAATGCTTTGTAGAGTTATTCTTTTCCTTAAAACATGAGATCAATGGCATTTGAGAAAAGAAGTTGAAAGAAAAGATCCTCAGGAACTCACCCGCTAGTACTTCACTTTCCTTAGGAAAGGTGGAAGTAAAGGGACTCAAGCAGAATTTTTAAGATTAGCAGGAAAAAAAAAACAATGGAAAGAAGTGGTGTACAAAGTGTATAGTTAAAACTTATTACTTCTGATTGCTGAATACAGAAAAGCATCATGAAAACTCATAAGCGTCCTAGAATTTTTATCCTTCACCCCTTCATGAATATTTTGAGATAGAATATATGCTCCAAACGGACATTGAAATAACATGTTTTAGTAATCTCCTTGTGATTGTCACAGTGGGAACTGCAGAGTACAAAATAGTTTAAAAACTTCATCTTACTTCAGCTGGCTTACTGAGATCATTAAAATAATTGGCTCCAATACTGAGGGCTGAGAACAGAAAAATTTGGGCTGTATTCATATTGAAGCAAGAAGCCAGGCAAATTTCCTCTCTTCCATAATGGAATTAGATAATAGGTATGAGCTTGGCCAAATTGAAAAGGAGTGTCTCAATATTTGGAAATTGTGTTCATCTACAAAACATGTTCCCTTCATTTTTGCAGAGTTTTCCAGCCTGCTAAAGGTGCGGTGGATATACTAGAATGGACACAGAGGATTTCCCTCCGCCACCACCAGAAGGTAATTGAAATAGTTTGGAGTTTAAAGCCAATTTTTCTGTAAGAATTTGATTATCTTTCCAGCAGAGATTTTACCTCTGCAACATTCCCTTTCCCCATATCACCCTAAGGCTTGGTCCTAGTGGTATGCTGTTGAAACATGAGCTCCTGTCATCTACCCTCTCTTGTTTTTGGACTTCACTTGCTGGTGTAGTTGGAACATGATGGGAAGAAGCCTTGGAGCAATTGGTCTTCACAGTCTAAATCTGAAAATACGTGTTTTCTATGGCAACTCCTTGTAGTCAGAGCACAGACACAGAAGAGCATTGCGGATGCTGGACTAATGGGCTCGTGTAAGGTTAACACTCAGTGACCCTTGCCTGTTATGTCCTGGTAGCTGGATGGCCTCTGGTGTAACCTAGGTTTATGAGAGCACAAAGGCAGGATATACAAAGACACTGTCTCACTGCCTTTTATGTTTATGCTCAAAGAGAACATTGCATGTGGTGATTTTTTAATCCTGTTTGATTTCCTGTAAATGCATAATTGTGTAGCGCTTGTTACTACATATTTTAATACTTAACAGGAGTAGTATTTGGCTTTTGGTAGCTGGATGTTGAGAGACTTCATAGAAGTATTATGTGCTTGTTCTGGTCATCCCAAAACATAAACTTTTGGAGATCTGTGGTTGAACCTGCTTTTATTTCAGTTAAGTTGCTATTATAGTTTATATAGGTAGTGATTTTTTGTTCCTTATATAGGATAATATTACTTATGGACTTGCACTTTATTATATATATTGATAGATGTATCTATTAATATATATAAATAATATACATTATTGCCTATAAGACATTTCACTTAATGTTCACACAGAACTTACATGAAGCCATTTGAGTATAAAAGCAAATTTAATCTTAGTTTTGTTCAGCTGTAACTCTCTAGAATTTGGGAATTGTCATTCTAGATCAGAGCTGCTTTCTCTCTAGGCACTGTCTCAGATAGAGGTCTGTTACTAGATACTGCCTAGGGAGTTGGGAACGTGAAAGAAGCAGAAACTTGTGAAATCAGCTTTTAATGGGTTAGATTTCTGGCCAACATTATTGGCAGTTTCATTTATGCTCTGAGATATCACTGCGGTTATTGTTGGCAGCAATTCCTCTGCTGTCCATGTCCTAATCCATATGGTCAGGACCCTGAATTTAGCTCAGTTTTGTTTAGTGACAGTTACTGTGAAACTGTCTCTATGGGATAATCCATCTCCAAAGCAGTGTAGTACTGTAGGGGAAGAGCCATCCCTAAGGAATCAATATTTCCACTTGAGCAGAGGCTGCCGTTTTTCAAAGACAGCCAATAACTGCGGCAACAGCTCCAACTTTGTGCAGCATTTCAGCTGTGGGATGGATACTCTGACAAGATTTCAGGGTGACGCAGTTCAGCGCTCTTCCAGAATTCAAGTTCTTTCTTGGCAGAGGTTTTTGTGACATGTAGAACTATGTGTATCATGTCCTTATTTTCAGACATGTCAGTTCTTAAGCGGCTGGGATTAGATTTAGTAAACATAAATTGAGACTCTTGTCTACCTAATCTTGCATCGATGTCAATTGATACTTTTCTTGGAGGAGGGGAGTGGAGGGGAAAGGGGCAGGGGGGGTTTGGAATAAGCTCCCCAGGGACCAGCACCAAGCCTCACAGAGTTAAAAAAGTGCTTGGTTGATGCTCTCAGGCACATGGTATGATTCTGGGGTGACCATGTGCAGAGCCAGGAGTGGGACAATGATGAGCCTTATGGGTCCCTTCCAGCTCAGAATATTCTGTGAGTTCTCTGTCATCTACAAAAGCTTTTCTGAAACTAGTGGAACTTGTATATTTTTTTGGTTTGCCATTGCTAACTCTCGTAAAAACCTATTAAAGGGATTATGAGTGATAATGACATTAAAAGACATTTTAGTTCACAATCTAGCTAATTCTCATTGCCTGTTCTGCAGGCAGAAAAGAAGTGAGGATTTTAGGGCTAAGTATGACAGCAAATATACATAACAACTAACAAATGAAGGCTTATTTTGCCTGCATATACAGTGGCCATCCATGTGTCTGTTCAGGAGGGGTGAGCAGCATCTGTCAGTGCCTTTGGACAGTGGGCACACGGGTGGGTTATCCTAGCTCATAGTGGGGATGAGATTCCTGTTGGGTGCAGAACCCTTTGCTACACCATTAAAAAAAGTTCTTACTTTTGACATAATGATTCTAAAATCCCACACTGGGCCCACAGGTAAAATAAATTGCTTTTTTAAAAAGAAAGTTTTTATGATATTGTGGGAATTTTTTGTTTACTTATAGTTTGTCTTAACAAAGATAGCTGTAGTGCTGAAAGTCATGTGGGCTCCTTTCTATCTACAAGTATATACTTTGCACTATAAATCTCAACTTTATTCTTGACAATTAATTTTTCTATGGTTTTGCCAGGTAAATTCTCTGCACTTATTTTTTATCAGTTTTTTAATGCATGCAAAGGGGAAGAATTTAAAAACCTATTAAAGGGGTTATGAGTGATAATGACATTAAAGGCATTTTAGTTCACAATCTAGCTAATTCTCATTGCCTGTTCTGCAGGCAGAAAAGAAGTGAGGATTTTAGGGCTAAGTATGACAGCAAATATACATAACAACTAACAAATGAAGGCTTATTTTGCCTGCATATACAGTGGCCATCCATGTGTCTGTTCAGGAGGGGTGAGCAGCATCTGTCAGTGCCTTTGGACAGTGGGCACATGGGTGGGTTATCCTAGCTCATAGTGGGGATGAGATTCCTGTTGGGTGCAGAACCCTTTGCTACACCATTAAAAAAAGTTCTTACTTTTGACATAATGATTCTAAAATCCCACACTGGGCCCACAGGTAAAATAAATTGCTTTTTTAAAAAGAAAGTTTTTATGATATTGTGGGAATTTTTTGTTTACTTATAGTTTGTCTTAACAAAGATAGCTGTAGTGCTGAAAGTCATGTGGGCTCCTTTCTATCTACAAGTATATACTTTGCACTATAAATCTCAACTTTATTCTTGACAATTAATTTTTCTATGGTTTTGCCAGGTAAATTCTCTGCACTTATTTTTTATCAGTTTTTTAATGCATGCAAAGGGGAAGAATAATAGTAAACTTTCATTTTTGTCATGGGGGTGTTGCAGGAAAATAGATGAAATGTTAAATAATGTGTTTTCATTAGCCATAGCCATCTGTACCTTGCTTGAGCTAAAATGCAGTAAATGTCAATAGTGAGGCTGCTTCTGCCACTACTTGATAAGGAAAAACTACACGTGACAAAAGAATGGAATGTAACATATTTTATTTGTTTTAATTTATTATGTTTATGCAACTTACCTGTTCATAGGTGTTTGGACATTCCATTCATGCATTGCTAATCAGGTAGTGACAAGTCTGTGCTGGTTACCTTTCCTACCTCAGAGCAAATTCAAGTGGAAAAATTATTGCCTGTGTGTTTTGTCCTCTAGATTGCTTTAAAAAGAGCTTCTTCTTCTTCTTCTAGCCATGGTTAAAAATTTCCTAGTATTTTTCTTTGTGTATTTCGAGGGAATGCATGTTTTAGTAAACAGGGAACAGTTGGAGTGGGGTGGATGCAAAGGCTTCCTTGGCTAAGAGCAAAATCCAAAAAAGTACTTCCAAAATGGATACTTGCAATGATAGTGCTAGCTTGTGTTCCCTTCTTTAGTGTGTCCGTACATGTGAATTTTGGTATGAAGTGCAGGTATTTAGAATTCCTTGCATAAATGAATTCCATGGCTATCTTGTGAAATAAAGTAGAGGATAATTCTTGTTCTGTCAACGAAAAATTCCTTTCTTGAAAGCTAAGTGAAAATGGCAGGTTTTATAATGGCTGTAAATTGTAATTATGCTTTTAATTGGTTGCTGTAATGGAGTGTCCTTTACCAAACCCATTTAGACAAGAAGAGGATATGCTGTGGACTGCAGACTGTGGAGGGAACAATTACAAAGCTGGTAGTTCTAAGAATGTGGCATCACATTGAGTCTGTTGTGTGCAGGACTTACCTTCACACTGAATAACTGGGACTGGAGGCTGGTTGTTAACGTTAGGGTGATGTTTATGTGTGATGGCCTATAGTTGTGCAATTACTGCTTTATTAGGAGGTGGCATGTCTGGCAGTTTGTCAGTCCTCTACTTGGAGAATACCTAGTGATCTTGCAAAATCGAAGCCCTTTTCTTGAAGTGAGGACTCAAGAGGTGTTTATCAGAGCCTGTTTCCAAAGGAAACCTGTGTTTATTTGCCAGGCACAATGGTTACCTGAGAAACGGCTTCTTGCCCAAAGGAAACTGGGCGTACTTTGTGTCAAGGAGGCTTAGTTTTGCAGTTTCATTGTCTCTGAATATGTCTGTCTCTCAATCTTTCTGGTACACGGCACTATGCCTCACATGATTTCTCTGTGAAAACTATTAGAAAGCATCGGGTGTATATCCTCCTACTTAGCATACTTTTCTTTTTTATAAAAAATGAACTCAAATGATACATTAAAATTCTAATGTGAAATACTGAAATTTCAGTGTTTGTACAAGGGCATAGTGAGAATCAATTTGAATGCATAGTCTTCATAATATTGCCAACTATTCTCTCTACCTGAGAGAGAATCATCTTCATTTGAGAAGTGTGGGAGGTGTCCTTAAGGACCAAGTATAGTGGAGAGCTGGATGTTCACTCACCCACACCACTGTCCCCAGTTCCTTGGGTAAAGCTAGATAAGAAGCCTTGTCATGCTGAAGTTTGCGATTTAAGATGTTCTTTGAAATGAAGTTGTTTTTTTCTGAAATTGGTAATAGACTAAAAATATCTCCTAGACACCAATTTTATACACCTTTTTATATAAAAAAATCACTTCTCTAGACCTATGAGTGGGATATTTCTTTGGTCCTGATATGGAGACATGTAGAACAAGGAGACCAAGGACTTAAATCTGGATATCCTGTATGCGTCTGAGTGCCGTGATTGTGT